GGGGGGGGGAGAAAGGATTGGGATGCGCGATGAAAGCCGAGACACATTGATATTCGTTTGCGCGAGAGTAAACTCGAGTAAGCTCGAGTCTATAAACCGAGCCCCTCCGTGCCTCTTCGTTCGATCCCAGTCAGAATAAACGCTCAAAATATCGTCGTATAGGCCATCATATCCATCCATCGTATTACCCTTCTCCTCCCTTCGAAAGCCCGCTCTTTTTTCATCGTGGCTTTCTAATTTCGTCTCTCTTCGTGAGAGGCGTTTTCCACTGTGAAGATTTTCAATCTTTTTGATCGTCGCTAATAAGAAAGCCCATAAAAAAAAAGCATTTGCCAAAGTAGCCCAGCAGTGAGCGTCACGGTTATTAATCCGAAAGACGACGACAGCGGAATATAATTGACCCTCGCGTAATCGGACGATCGCGATTTTATTATGAATGTATCCCCCTCCCCGTACTATCGGTCCCCCTCCTCCCTCCTCCCTCCACCCTCCTCGTTCCGATAATACTGGCTGATCGATCGCTACCAAGCGATGAACACTTATTTTCACAGACGATTTTCTCACTCGTACAATGACCCTCCCCCCTCACCCCTACCCATCATAAACCTCTTACCGTCATCCTTTGTGTTTACTACAGAGAAAGAGCAAGTACACCGAGGCAAAACTGAAGGCGCTCAAGGCCAGGAACGAATATATCCTCTGCCTCGAGGCTTCCAACACAACTATACACAAATACTTTGTCGACGACCTGTCGGATCTCATTGACGTAAGTCCTCGGTTGGAGGTAATTTTTTGTCTAACTCTTCTTCATCTTTCTTTTATTTGTACGGTAATCCTTTTTTGACGCTTTTATTAACGTAATAATTACCTTTACTCACAATCTGATTCTTTCCTTGGATTAGATACGAAATGGTTGACAATATTATCAGTAGGTCAATAAGAAAACAATATCTTTTTTTTTTTTTTTACATTGTACGGCAGCAGCTCGATTGCGCTGATTAGCGTGGAAAAATAGAGCCATATCTTTATGATCATACATATAGTTTAAGTCTATGGGTAATAAATGTATTTATATTGCGTGCATACGTAATTCGCTTATTCTGCAGTCAATTTGAGCATTAATGTCGCATAATAATATTGAAACGATTACTTTAATTAACATTGTGATTCAATTTTCTACTTCATTGCTATTTTCAAATGCACATTCTAAAAATATTGATTTTAATACAATAACATACGTATAATTAAAGTTACATTTCATTTAATAGAAATTCTATTCTTGTTTCATATTTTCAATACTGTACTCTTTAATATTTCCGTAGCGCGTCAATTTATAGTTATTTTATTAAAGATAATTTAAACTTATGATTTCTCGAGCTCTAATCCTATGCATGTGTAATACGAGTTGTTGACGTTCTGCTTCCGTTAGACGTCAATCTGAAATGTTCGCATCGTTGTTAGTTTCATAAAATGGCCCATAAACAAAAGAGCGAATAGCTTTATAGTGAAATAATAATTGAGGAAGAAAAAAACAATCATAATAATGTCGACTCGACGACATTCTTAACCGTTCGCAACCACTATTTTACAGTGTATGGATTTTGGCTTTCATAATTGCATCGCTCGAGCTTTGCTGATGCACTGTAGTGCGGAAGAGGGCAGGCAGCGTTCGCTTCAATTCGGGGCCGAACAATTGTCTTCCTGCGTTGGCTCTTTAGATTCGAGAGCCGATAAGCAGAGGTTCCTCGAGTCACATCACGCGGCCTTCATGATCCCGAAGAAATTCGAGTTTCAAGGCCAGCGAGGAGATGACGTGAGTGCAATATCGAGATTCGCTGAAAAACGTGCTGTTATTATTATTCTCACGGCCGTGATTATTGCGTAGGCCCCGGAATCGGAACTACAGAAGGTGCTACATACGGAAATGGAGCAGAGACTCCAGCAGCTACAGCAGAGGGTCACCTCGCTGCGAACCGAATCCGAGGAAGTGTGGAAGACCCTCGAGACCGCCGAGGCGAGTCTACTCGAGATGTTTACAGCCAAAGATTACGATTGTTCGAGGTATTTCGGTGATAATGCGATGCCGACGTCGAAGCCGCCCGAAACGGTGCAAATTAAGCTTAGGGCCGACCGACAGGAGACAGAGGAGTTTTACCTTACTGTAAGTCCTTTAACCCCCCCCCCCCCCACCCCCCCCCCA